CTCCACAGACCGGAGCCCAGGTCCTGCCACCGGCCACCTGCCCTGCCCACCTCCACGCCTCTGCACACGCGGTCCCTCCTCCATCTCCTGCTCATCCTTCAGGGCTTCAGGTAAGCATCACCTCCACCAAGAAGCATCCCAGGCAGGGCCTGCTGCCCTGGTGCCGGGGACCCCCTTGGCCCAGCCCTGGGCCCCGGAGCTGCCGCCCCACAGGTCAGTGGGCTCCTCTTGGGCCAGGACCATGTCGGAGCCACCTGATTTTTCTCAGAAGTCCTGTGCTTGAGGGGAGTAAAGTGCCACCCACCCAGGCCAGTGCGCAGGTTTGTTTTGGGGGTATCCCCTTCACCAAGACGCCCCCAGCATGCAGGCCAGCAATGCCCCACCCTGCCCTGGAGCCCAGGCCCCTCCTGCAGAAGCCCAGCACCAGGCCAGAGCATGTGACTCAAAACTAAAGCACAAGGACTTTCCAGTGTCACTTCCCGGCCTTCCTCCCTAGGCCAAGAAAGCTGAGCAAGTCAGGCGGAGACACAAAAGGAAAATGCATTTGGTGCGGCCCCTGCTGTGAGGCCCCTGCCTCAGGCCCTCATCTGTCATTTGCAATGACATCCATGGGGCACCAACTCACCGGCTGAAAACTGTCTGGGGCCGGAGTGCTGCCCCTTCCTCACCCTTGGCTGGGCCTCTGCCTCCAAGGTCTGGCTCCTGTCCTTTCTAGAATAAAGTTGCCCGGCTCTGAGGCCAAACAGCACTGAGAAGAGAGGCCGGAATTTGGGCCAAACAAACAGGATGCTCTGGAAGAGAAACCACCCTCCAGGAAGAGAGGTGGGGTGTGCCAAGGAAATCTGCCTGCAGACCTACTATGTGCTACCTTTGTGGGCCACCTACTGCGTGCTGAGGTCCCCACGCCCAGTGACAACAGGTGAGAGTGTCAGTACACAGGGCACCCCAGCCAGGCCACTGGGCATCAGTTTTGTCCACCTCTGCAAACCCAGGGTTGGGAAGTCTTCTGTTTGCATCAGCACAGGTCCAAGCGTTGGCACGAATAAGACCCGCTCCTGCTTTCCCCTTCGCATCCTGGTGGAGGTGGAGACGGAGCCGATGGTTCCAGAAACCAAATCCTCCTGGCAGAAGCACCTCCCACCCCCCTGCAGCCGGCTGCCCCTCTCCTACCACAGTTTCTGTCCTCCAAAGGTCCCTCCCCACCCACACACGCCAGCCGATGGGTGGAAAACAGAGTGGAAAAAATGCATATAAAAGGAAGATTTGTCACTTGTCCTGCATGTAAAACAGAGGTCAGCTCCTTGGTAACCTCTGATTCCCTGGGCAGAAAGGAAGTACCTCATTAGGGAATCTCCATTCATTCATTCTCCTCACAAACACCAGTGAGCACCCGTGATGGGCTGAATCGTGCCCCCGAAATCCACACGGTGAAGTCCTAACCCCCAGCACTGCAGAAAGAGGCTGTCGTTAGAGATCAGGTCTTTGAAGAGGTAATTAAGGTAAAATGAGGTCCCTGGGGTGGGTCCCCATCTAATCTGACTGGGTCCTTATAAGAAGTGGAGATTAGGACACAGACATGCACAGAGGGACGGCCACACGAGGGCACGGAGAGAGGATGGCCATCCACACACCGAGGACAGAGGCCTCAGAAGAACCAGCCCGCCCTCACCTTGCTCTCAGACTCCCAGCCTCCAGGACGGTGAAACAAGTCTCTGTGTCATCCAGGCACTGCGCTCTTACAGAGGCCTCAGAAAAATGACACAGCATGTTTTCCCATCTTCTGCAGGGGGGAGTGTTAAACGGAACTTTATTGGATGTGGGGGGTTCAGAGGAGGTCCATGAGGATGCCGTCCTCCGCGACGCTGGGCTGCAGCCCGGCTGGGGACCGGACCCCAGGGCACATGCCACTCTGAGGCAGGTGGGGACATAGGCAGAGGGGAAACCCAGACCCAGGGCCTGTCTGCCGCCGTGGCCACCTACGCACCCAGAGGCCGCTCTGGGCAAGGGCGAGAGATCCCACGTGGATGGCTCTGGGTAGCGTGGGGCAGCTTCAGGGGGCGGGGGTGCTCTGTTAAATGCCCTGTGCCTCGGGGCCCACCTGGAGCCTCTCTGCTGTCCCTCAAGAACCTTGAACCTCCTGGGGAAACGCCCTGTGTCCCAACTTTTAGGACTCGCGGTCACTAAGACCCAAGTGGAACCGGTTTAGCCAGATGCAAGGCTGAAGCCAGCAGGCCCTGGCCGACTCTGGCCCAGGAGGGCGGCTCTGGAGGGCGGCCTGCAGCTGAGGGGCCTGACCGTCGGGCAGTGTCCGCGGTGGGCCAGGCTCTGGGCTTCCAGGGGCCGTGATCAGCGCAGAGAGCGGGGGAGACGAGTTGATCAGCCCCACTGTTTACTGAGAAGCAAACAAGCCCCAGACTCTGAACTCCAGCTCTGCTTCTCACTAGCCACCTATGGGCCTTTGAGAGTCACCTGAGCCCTGGGCCTCAGCTTCCTCATCCATAAAATGGGGTAATAATGTCACTAGGGCACCAGGCGGCGGCGAGGGTGAAGGGCAGGGGTCAGTGGGGCCACCCCAGGCTCTGTGTGGGCGTCTGGCTCGCTCTGCTTTCTCCCAGACACCCAGCTTCGGCTGAAGAAATGGACACTCAGAGGGATGGGGGCCCTTCTGCGGCCACACCGCGGGGGAGGGGGGCGGAGGAGGACCGAGGTGGAGCTGAGCTGAGACAGGCCGAGGGGCGGGTGCTGCCCGGGCCTCAAGGCCTCGCCCTCTGCGGGGCAGCTGGGCTGGTGGGTGCGGGACCCGCTTACCTGTTTGTCAGCAGAAGCCACAGGGCACAGAGCCTCCTAGAGAGCTCACAGCAAGGCGGGCCCTCGGGGCGGGGCAGTGCGCGCGGAGGTGGGGCAGTCAGCCTCACCCTGTCTCTCGGTCTCCTCTTTCTGGCTTTCTTTCTGTCTCCCTCCTTTCTGTCTCTGTCTCCTCTCTGTCTCTCTGTGTCTCTCTCTCTCCATCTCTCTGTCTCTGACTCTCTGTCTCTCCCTGGCTGTCACACACAGACACACCCCCAGGCACCTGCACCACCAGTGGGGCCTTCGTGCTGTGTGGCAGGCCCTCGGGTGACAGGCAGAGCTCCCAAGCTCAGACCATCCACAGCCCCACAGCTGCCTCCTCACCTCCATGGCCTCAGCTCCAGCCTCGCCCCCTCCCTGCCTCACCCCCAGCCGCCTGTCTGGGCTCCCTGCCTCCATCTGGCCTTCTCACTCCTCGCAGCCCTGGGCCTGGGCCTGGGCCTCACAAGTCCGAGCCGGCCTGCTCCTGCTCTCAGCTCCTCCATGGCTCCCACTGACTGGGGACAAAGCCCAACTCCCCGCAGCGATGGTTCAGGCTCTGCCCAACCCAGCTTGGTCACAGGCAGCTGTGGTCAGGGCTCAGCCGTCCACACCTTGGACTTCGTCCTGCTCTGCGGGCCCACAGCTTCTGTTCCAGCCGGGGTGTTGGATGTGCTGGGGCTCAGTCCCCTCACTGGCCTACACTCCGGGGTGGGGACAGACGGGCCTGAGGGCTGGGGAGTCCTAACGCCCTGCACTGGGCCCACACACAGGAGTGCCCTGTGGATATCTGTGGGTGCGTGGATCTGGACACCACCTCCCCTGGTCCTATAGGGAAATTGAGGCCCAGTGCGGCGCTGGCTCTGCCTCAGTGCTCCCTGCTGGTAGGTGGCGGGGCCTCCCAGCCTCCGGGCCAGGCTGCCTCTTCTGCTGAAGACCTGGATCTGGGCGCCAGGTCACTGCATTCATTCAGTCACCCACTCATTCCTTCATTCACTCATTCATTCCCTCCCTCACTCATTCACTCACTCACACGCTCACTCTGTGGCTGATGGACACCCCTAGGTGCCAGGCCCCTCCAGATGCTGGAACCATGGACAGCAGACAGGAGCGCCCTGGCTGACCAGGGACGTGCATGTGTTGTGGGAGAAGCGGCCACAGCTTGGCTCATTAAGCCAAGGCCATGCAGCTGTGGTGAGAGGGGCTCAGCGGGGTGAGGGTCTCCTGACTGTGACTAGCAGTGGGTGCTGGGGGACCCTCACATGGTGCGGGAGGCCTGGGTGTGCAGGAGCAGTGAACCAGGCTGCTCCTGAGCAGGCACGACGAGGAGACAGTCTCACCTGAAGCCTGACCACTACGGGAACCCCAGGGGCCCAGGAAAGGGCCAGGGAGCAGAGGCCAAGGCTGCTCCCCCGTTTCAGCTGTGGTGGAGGCGGTCCCTCTGGTTTCTCTAATCCCTCCCCTTGGCTGGGGGGTAGCACCCACCAGCATGACCCCGGGGAACCCAACTTCACCAGTGGCTCTCACAAGCCAGATAAGACCCTCCATCAAATCCCCCAGACACAGACGAGGACCCTGAGGCCAGGGAGGGCAGCATGCCTGAGGTCACATCCAGTCCGCAGATCCAGGACAAGAGCCCAGGTCTCACAGCCTCCGCAGGCCCAGCCCACATCCCCCGTAGGACCCTCCATCACCGCCAACAGGAAGATGCAGCTGCCCCACGCGTCCCGTGGGCCCCATTCTTTGGGTTGTTTGAAGGGTAAAAAGGAGAGCAAATGGTATTTGTTTAACTAATTTCAAGGCTCAGGAATTTCCAGATGTTCCCCCAGGTCCTGCCCCTCCGCAACTGGCCCCAGGTGCCTTTCTCACAAACTTCCCTCTGGGGGACAGAGGGCGGCTCCCTCGGGGATCCCTGGGTGTGGTGGAATTTCTGGCTGTCAAGGGCCCCCAGGGAGGAGGCCGTCAGATTCCTGGAAAACTGGAGCGATTTTCTAGGCCAAAAGCCTCCAGAGTCAACACAGAAGCCACCTGAGAAGCTTGACCTCTGGGCCCAGCTGAGGAAGAGGATGTCGGGGAGGCTCCAGGGGGCTGAGCAAGGAGCCAGCCCACCTCCTGGAGCACCAAAGGCTTCATGAGTAGAGGGATGAATCAGTGAATCAATGAACGAACAAATGACAACTTCCGACATTTACTGAACACTGCACCACGTACATCACCTATTGGAGCAAAAGTCCATGTTTCGAAGCCCACCTTCCACATACATGGATTAATTGACTTGGGAATTGTGCATCGATCCCTCCATGGAAAACAGAACCTTTTCCAGGATGGGATTAACAAACAAAGAGAAGTGACCGAATCTAAGATGATGGCTGTGCACACACTGGCTGAACTTGCAGAGAGTGGCCGAACCTCTCTGAGCCTTACAGCAACCTCCCGAGGGGGAATCATCACCCCGAGATGTCAGCACAGCGCCACCTGGAAACTTGCCCCAGGTCACCCACAGGTGGGCGGCAAAGCAAGGATGTGCACCTCGGTCTATCTGTATGAGCTCTACGCGGCACTACTGTCCACTTGCTGGGGAGGGGAGGGCAAGGAAGGAGGGACGCAAAAATCTTCTTCTGAATACATGAACTTGAAGTCCAATCCTTCTCTCGACCTGGCTGGCACCGGGCTCTGGAGCACACCTTGGCCACATCTAGTGACTCAGGAGATGCTCTGGGCTCCGAGCAGCAGTCCTGCCTCCAGAAGACCACACCTGAGATTCTGGGTGGCTTACGCAGACGCCCCAGGAGACTCACACAAAGCTGTTGGCAGTGGAACTGGCCAAAATAGCAAAAAGGAAAATAAAAGTGGGAGGAGCAAAACACAGTGTCCCTCTGAAAGGAAACAGATCAGCTGCGGCTTATCCATACAATGGAATCCCACCTGTCAACAGGGATTCATTTCACAAACATAGCGCGGAGTGAACAAAGCCAGCCGCAAGCAGAGACATCCAGCACGGACCAGTCGTGTAGATCTGGGGCACACGACACCATGGCATCCTTTATTTATGAACACAGATGGGGGCAGTGAAAGCAGGAGAACACGGATGAGAATGGAACACATCGGGGGGAGAGTGGAGGTCCCGTGGAGGAGCGATGCCTCCGCTGTGTCTGCAATGCTTCACTTCTTTGCACATTCTGTGACACACATACAAGATGTTAACATCCGCCTAATGTCCCTGGATAAATAGGGGTAGGTTTCCTTGGTTCCATGGTCTGAACCCTTTCGTGATTGCCATGTTTTCATGTTAGGATCCATCCCTGATGGCAGCAGCAGCACCCTGGCAGGTGGCAGGAGCCGGGGCTCCTGTCCTGAGCCTGCTTCCTTGGCCACAGAGCCTGGAGGACCCCAGACGCTGACCCTGACCGCCACGTGCTGAAGCCCACCTTCTGCGTACGTGGATTAATTGACTTGGAAACTGTGTACTGATCCCTCCATGGAAAACAGAACCTTTTCCAGGATGGGATTAACAAACAAAGAGAAGTGACCGAATCTAAGATGATGGCTGTGCACACACTGGCTGAACTTGCGGAGAGTGGCTGAACCTCTCTGACCCTCAGTGTGCTCGTCTGTGGAATGGGTGAGTATGGGCACTGTGATACTGCCCCACAAGGTCACCCTGGAGCAGGAGTGATCTTATTTAAGGGCTGGGCAGTGAGCACAGGGCCCTGTGTGTTCTAACTGACCAGTAAAAGGGAAGACAAGCCATCGTGAGGAGGGTGTCTCACGAGCCAGAGCCCTGGGGACAGCAGACCCCGACAGTGAGCACTGTCCACCCAGCAGCTGCTCCGGGGGCCCAGAAAAGGGGCCTCTCAGCCTGACACCTCCATCCAGGCATGTCAGCTGCTTCACACACTCCCACCCGAGTCTTCCAAAATAGAATGAGACCCTCTCCCTGGTCTGGGAGCAGCTCGGGACAGGGCAGAGCAGCGGCCAGCGGCCCTTCAGCCAGTAGAGGAAGCTGCCTCGTCTCCCCTCTAAGGAGGGGTCTTCTGGCCCCTGGTGAGCCAGGCCCGTGTCCCCCCAGCCAGGTCCAGTCTCCCAGGAGAGCTCAAGCCTGTCCAGCCCAGCCCCACCAGAGCAAGGCCCTCCTGGCCCCCCAGTGCCCTGCCAGGCCGTCTGGACGGAGGAGTACAGAACGATCTGAATCAGGGAGACTGGGCCCAGGCCTGGGAGCCTTTGCCAAGGTCCCCTCAGAGGCCAGGAGAACTCGACCCCTGTCCGCTGGGCTGCCCTGGGAGCCAAAGAACCCAGTGTGTGGGGAGACGCAGGAGGGTACAGTGTCCCCAGGGGGCCAAAGCCGCAGGGCCTGGGGACTCAGAAGGTGGCTTGCCTGGTTGGAACCTCGGCCTCAGCTGTCACTAGTTCTGTGACCAGCAAGTTCTGAAACCACACGATCTCACCTTAAGACGGAGCAGGCCCAGTGCCTCCCTCTGGGCTGGGCGGGGGGATTACCTGGGGGCGGACTGGGTGGGCTCTGCCCGGCACCCGGCACAGGTGGACCCCCCACCACTCTGCGGGCGGGATGGAGGGCTGGGGGCCGGGGCCCTGCAGCATCCCCGGCCGCACCCTCAATATCTATAAATACCAATGGCAGTGGCTGTGATGGGTTGAACTGGCCCCCCCACCAGATTCACATATTGAAGTCCCAACCCCTAGTGCCTTAGAGTGGGGCCATATTGGGAAACAGGGTTGTGGTAGACAGAACTGTTAAATGAGGTCCCACTGGAGCAGTGTAAGCCCCTAGTCCAACATGACTGGTGTCCTTACGAAAAGGAGTAAATGTGGACACAGACAGGCACCCAGCAAGGAGATCGTGTGACGAGAGAGACAGAGGTCGGGGCGACGCTTCCACCAGCTGGGGAACACCAAGGATCGCCAGCAAACCCCAGAAGCTGGGCGAGAGGCTGGGACGGCTTGTCCCTAGATCCGCCAGAAGGAACAGAGCTTGCAGACACCCTGGGCTCAGACCTTCGGCCCGCAGAACTGGGAGACCACAGACCACTGCTGTTCAGCACCTGGTCTGGTGCTTTGTTACGCGGCCCAGGGAACTAAGCCAGGGACTGAGGGAGAGGAGGCTAAAGCCGCACAAGCTCCGGGCTGGGTTCAGGTGAGAGAAATCAGGTCCCCCTGGGGGGCTGGTCACCCCACAGTCCCAGGGTGGGGTGGGTGGGAGTTGGACCCTTCCCTCTGGGACGCTGGTGAATCACTTGGTTAGAGGAGGAAACAGGGCTCTCTTTCCCTTCCCTTCCCTTCCGCACCTGCCTCCATCCTGCAGCCTTCGACCCCCGGTGTGTCCCCTTCCGAGAGCCCCAGCGCTCCTCCCCAGCACCCCTCAGCCCACGTGATCGGCTGCCGTGCCCCTCATGGGGGTGGCCAGCACCCTCCCGACACACCCAGGACAGTCAAATCTTTAAATCCTTCCCACGCCCACCTCGCCCCCAGTCCTGGCTCCTTTCCCTGGTTGCCCGGCATGTTCTCAACCTCGGAACCTCAAAGACCACCCAGAGGCTGCGACCTCAACACTTTCACCCCCGCCTGGACCTCCTTGTTGAGCCCCGATGGCCTGTCCCTCTCTCACCCTGGTCACCTCTCTTCTGAGGTCACCATTGGCTTTCCCCCAAACCACTCCCTCCTGCTGGGATGAAGGCCGGCACCCGCGGGCCCATCATGCAAGCCTGGGCATCCCCTCGTCCCCTGCTCCCCCGTCTCACCACCTGCAGTGACAGCCGGTCCTCAGTGCCCCTCCCTCATCCTCCTCCACACCATGCCCTAGATCAGGCATCTGCCCCTCACCTGGATGTTACAACAGGCCAGGCCAACAGGTCTGTCTGCCTGAAGCTCCCTCCCCCAGACCAGCTTCCCAGGCACTCAGGTCAGACATCTGCCTGGTCCCTGACCCCCCTCACGTTCCACATTCAAACACGCAGTATATTCCATTGGCTCTTACTACAAACATGCGGAATCCAGAGCCACGACCCACCCTGCCTCTCGGGCCCTCACCTGGGTCTCACCTGGATTCCTGCAGCAACCTCCAACTCCTCCTGATCAGCTCTCCCTGCTTCCATCCCCAGCCTCCTTGCTATTCCTGCACCCACCTGCCACAGGGCCTTTGCACAGGCCAGTCCCTCTAGAGCACACGTCCCCTGGACACCTACCTGGCTCTTACCCAGGTTGAGTTTTCACCCAAATATTGTTGCAGGCAGACCACCCCCACTGATGATCCCACCCCACCCCTAATTTCTCTCCCTCTCACTCACCTTCCCCATCTTATAACACCTACTTATGTATTATCATTGTTTAATTTCTTCTTCCTCCCACGAGTACCAGGAGCACAGCATTTCCTGTTTAACTAATTCAAATTAGAACAGCACTCAGGACAGAGCAGGGGATCAGTAAAGCACTGCTGAACACATATAGGAAAGCGAAGCTAAACAGAGCCGGTGCGGGCCGCCTGCCCCTTGGAGATGGCTGTCTTTCCTCTTCTAAGCGCAAGGAGAACTCTGCCCACATCACCTGCCTGCTCCCTTCGCCCAGGGAGATGAGATAACCTACATTGCCTGCTGGGAGGGCCCTGCCAGCTCTCCCAGGAGCTCTCCCACAGCCGCCTCCTGGGCTGGGCAGGCGAGCGGGCCTTGTTACGTTAAGACAATCCTGGAGCTGGAGCCTGGCCTGGGAAGGTGGGGCATGCCCCGCACAGGGAGGTGCGTGGGGAAAGCACCCATGTGCGCTTTCAGATGTGCCGGGGGGATCTCCAGACTCGGCCGGAGGTGGCACAGGACCACCCAAGGTGCTGGGCACAGGGAGACAGTCAGCCCACGCCGGCATCCTGAGCCCCAGTGGGGTCTCCGGGCTCCGGAGGCTTGTATGTCTAAGCCCTGGACCTCAGAGTCCCTGCGCCTTGGGTCTGTGCCCCTAAGCTTCCTGGCTTCTCTGGTCTCTGGTCTTAACGCCCGAATCACTGGAGGACTATAGCTTCACAGCCTTAAGACAGGGCCCCTAAGTGGCTGGAACTGGGGGCCAGCGTGGCTGGAAGGCCCAGTGCCTCCCAGGGCTTTCGGGTTGCAGGGACCAGGAACGCTAAGGCCTGTGTGTCCCGGAGCTGAGGTCCAAACCCTCTGAGACTTGCCTTGTGCTGAGAAGAGCTTTACAAACAGCACTCAGGGGCCGGCACGTGGCAGGTGCCCCACCAACACCCAGGTGCTTGGCCCAGACCCGAGATGCTCTCCACGCAGGGGTGGGCTCTCCAACCCAGGCTGTCCAAGTTTAAAGGTCAGGGTCAGCAGGCCAGAATCCTCTGCTGAGGATGGGATGAATCATGTCCCTTAAACGACAGGCTTGAAGTCCTAACTCCTGGGACCTATGACTGTGACCTTATTTTGGAAATAAGATCCTTGTGGATGTAACTGGTTAAGACAAGGTCACACTACATTAGAATGGGCCCTAATCCAATGACTAATGTCCTTATAAGAAGAGGAAATCTGGATACAGAGAGACACAGGGAGAAGGCCACGTGAAGACGGGGGCAGAGGCTGGAGGGACGCTGCCCCATCCCAGGGACACCAAGGCTTACTGGCCACCACCAGGACAAGGCAAGGGAGGAAGGGCCCTCCCCTAGAGCTCGGCCTTCCCAGCACCGCGATGTCAGACTCTGGCCTCCAGAGCTGGCATTGCCTGGGGGGCAGTCTCTTCCCTCTGTTGTTACCATGAAGCCGAGACCCCAAGGTGGACCTCGGAGGGCAGCCATTCCCGGGTGGGGAGTCAGGTTCAGCTGGAGCAGGAAGTGCTCAGGGCCCCCGCCCACATCACACATCCGTGAAAGGATGATCACTCTGTAGCCAGCAACTCCCTGCGAACCCTACGCCTCCACCCCTCCAGGAGCACCTGTGTCTCAGCACGAGGGGAGGAGGGCAGATGGTGCTGCTCCGGGCTCGGCCGACTTGTCCGTCCAGCTCCTCTCTGGGGCTCGGGGGTGAAGTCTGATCCTCACCAACCCTGTGTTCAGCGGATGCTCTGATTGGACCCTCCCGGCATCTCCTCATCTCAGCCCCGCTCAGGAATCCCATGGCCCCCGCTCCTGCCCCTTAACTCTTCCAGGCTCACCCACGCACCCACACCTGTTGGGTCAGGTTTGAGTCCTGGCCTCCCACTTGGCTCCCTGGCAACCCTCACCTCGCCTTGGCCGCCTCCACTCACTGCCTGGCTCTGCCAGGCCACCCTCGGCCGCTGTGATGCAGACCCCAGGTCTGGCTGCGGGGCCAGGGCTTGGCTCCCCGGGGTCTCTGGTGGGCTGGGTGCTTTCCTGGAGGAGGCTGTGACCCTGGCCTTGGGCTACCTGCCCACACCCCTCACCTGAGTGCCCTCTCTCCCCCAGACCTCACAAAGATGGTACCTGGATAAATCCTACCTCGACCTTCTCAGAAGCAACAAATGCCTCTTCTGCGGAGCTCAGTGGCTCAGGAGGCCTGTCCGGCCTCACTCTCAGAGGTGCTGGCTGGCCTCCCCGACCGCAGTGCACACCCCCACCACCTCTGCCCCTGCCCTGCCTCCCGCCTGGGGTGCCTCCCCTGGGTGCCCACTTCATCCAA